TTGCATTATTGCATATACCGCATAGATTTGCAAACATGAGCATGCACAATGAGCTGCACTCAGGCCTGGTAGGTATGAGTTCACACGTGCATACCTGATTAAGATCTGTAATTATAGCTGGGGGAAAAAAGTTACAGGGTTTTGCCTAGCTACAATTTTGGTACTTATGTTTGGCCGGACTAGGGAACATGCACCTTAGGCTTCACTCTGGCTGGCAAGTACACACCATGAGGATGCCTGCACATCCACTTTGCATTTTCAAGAGTTGCAAGCTTTGTGCTATGTGGCTGAGTAACTGCTTTTTCACACATTAAGCAAATGTGCAATCTCTCTTAATAGAGAGAAATTTAAAGAAAAGTCAGAAAAAAGGAAGCTCTAAAACTCCATAATTGTTGGGTATCTACTGAATGTGGTTTCTGATGGAGTGCATTTTTCCCTGTTCTAGATGTTGAAAGTAAAAAAAAATAGCCATATGTGAGCTAATGAATTATTCCTCTGCCTAGTTGCTGACAAGGCTGCCTATTTGATGGGTCTAAACTCAGCTGACCTGCTAAAAGCCCTTTGTTACCCCCGAGTCAAGGTCGGGAATGAGTATGTGACCAAAGGTCAAACAGTGCAGCAGGTAACAAACAATGGAGAATTTAGAACTCATGGTTTGAATTAACACACCTGCTGCTTCTGCTGATTTGTTTGATAACTCCAGTCTTTCTTCCATTGGCTAGGTGCACAATTCAGTTGGTGCTCTGGCAAAGGCTGTATATGAGAAGATGTTCTTGTGGATGGTCGTTCGTATCAACCAGCAGCTGGATACGAAGCAGGCCAGACAGTACTTCATTGGTGTGCTAGACATTGCTGGCTTTGAGATCTTTGATGTAAGGAGCAGGGGTTTGATAGCAGCCTCTTGGGAAAGAACTTGGAGATTTGTTTGGGTTTTTTTTAAGAGGCTGGATTGATGCTCTGGCAGCCTTGGTAGTGAATTCCTGGGCCTAGGAATGCTGTATAATCTAAAGCAAGGGTTCTCAACCCTTTTCTTCCTGAGGTTCCCCTGAGCATGCTATAAAAAAGTCCACAGTCCACCTGTGCCACAACAACTGCTCAGCTCCCTATCCCCTCCTGCATGGCCCTGGGTGCAGCAGGTGGGGTTCAGCGCCCCGGGCCCTTCCTCACTTCAGCAGCAGCAATGTGGAGCCTTGCCCACCCACCTACAGTGCTACCCACAAGATGGAGGCTGTGGGGCCAAGCAGGGTAGGCTGAACCCTGCCCCTTCTTTGGGATTCGTCTTAGCCCCAGGGGGCTGAGGCAGCTCCTCCCCATGCCAGGCTGGGACAGGCCTGTGGCCCCACAGCGGGTCATGGACCCCCAGTTTAGAATATGCTTATCTAGAGCTCTGATGGGTCAGAGAAACTGGTAAATCCTGACTCAAATCATTGGTCAGGACTGAGACCAAAATCCGAGAAATCCTCAAGCAGCCTGGGTTCCAGAGCTCAGAAACACAATGCAAAATTATCCTGGCAGAACTGAGGATAGAAATTCCCAAACATTAGGCTGGTCCTAAAGAAGTACACTCAAACTATTCCAGAATGTGCTTTAAAATTAGTGTTACTCTTCATATCTCACTTGTTAATATGCATATTCAGACTAACCCCTACCATTATGTTTGTGCAGTACAACAGCTTGGAGCAGCTGTGCATCAACTTCACCAACGAGAAACTGCAACAGTTTTTCAACCACCACATGTTTGTGCTGGAGCAGGAGGAGTACAAGAAGGAAGGGATTGAATGGGAATTCATTGACTTTGGGATGGATTTGGCCGCCTGCATTGAGCTCATTGAGAAGGTATGCCTTAAGTATTCAAAAATTCTTTAGCAGCTATGATCTTATGGACTATGCTCAGGTCCATACATTTCTTGACCCATAATATATTATGTTTTCAGTTAAGGTGGCCACACAGCTTTATGATATCACCCTTGCTCCTTCTTCTTGGAGCAATGCTGCTTTTTCTTCCTTCCCTTTGTGGGAAGGAATACTTTGCCTTAGAGCTGGACTCTTTAAGAGTCTTGAAACATCTTGCATTTGAACGAGCCCAACTCAAAAAGCTGGTACTTGTATATCAAAATACATTCTTTGCATAATTAAAACATGTAATTCTTCTAAGGAAAGAAAGACAGAACTAATCCTTGAAAAAGAAGTATATTTTTTGTCCCTTGATTTGTTAATTGTACAAGCACCATGAAATGAATGTCACTATGGTATAAGGGGAGCACAGCTCCCCTTATACCATAGTGACATAGTATACCTGATAGCACAGCTAAGCTGTTGTAAAGTAAGAGTTTTCATATTGTATTACTTACTACTCATTTTGACTTCCTTCTCCCTGGGTGCATCTTACATGAGACGCTACATCACTGTAGTAATGAGCTACAGTGACATAGCTCATCTCTATGCAATGTAGCATCAGTGGGCACTAACCGTGATGCCGCTGCTACTGCACAGTAGCAACGAGCTACTGCAAAGTAGGTCATTGCTACTGCACAGTAGGGTCAGAAACAACTCATGTGCTGCTGGGACTGTGGCAAGTACTAAATGACTGCTTAGTACCAACTGCACAGTATGTACAGAGGAAACTGATTTGCTGAACATTCGTAATGTAATTGTTGTAGTTTTGGCATTAAGTCCTATACCAGGACACTACATCTCAGCATGATATAACTGATAGGAGACTTCACCATCATACTTTATTTTCTCCACATGGTATCTTGAGCCATGAAGATCAGAGCAAGTGTATAACGTTGTGTACAGGGAACATAGCTTTTTATAATACACCACTTCCAGAATAGTAATTCACTTATAGCTGCATCTTCAGTAAGTCAGTTTAATAGTTTGCAAGCTCATTGCATGCCTGAATATTCTATATTCTTTCACCTTTAAATCTTTTTATCACAAATAAAATTATTTTTCATGAGTCATCAATGTTTCTAGGGTTGACTGAAAATATTAAATGAATTTTTTAAATGAATTGAAAAATATTTTTTTGAAATATACTATTTTGTTAATATATTTTTGTAAATTTTTCATGCATCTCTAACTGTTGCAAACAAAGATGGAAATCTATCAATATAATTTGTCTAAATTTTGGGGGTTTTATAGAAGATTCTTTCAAAGAACTTCAATTGCTTCAAAATAGAACTTGTTGAACTCATTGGAAAAAACAGCATAATGGGATAGAGGGTTCTAAGTTCAGTTATCTGTTGTTTGAATATATGGATTCGAGGATTTGTTGTCTGCATGGGAGGGCAAAGGGATACCAGTATCTCTCTTTGCCAACAGTCTAGTAATCCCATGTTTCAGGGTGTATTCTGGTTGTCTGTTGGGGTCAAGAATATTTTCTATCCTCCTGAATGCTTTTTGGCTTCTCAGATATTTCCCCTCAGATAAGAGTTTTGATTACAGTGACCTGGTGTCTTACCAGTGCTTAGAAAACTCAGAGAGATGACTTGAGTACCTTACTCTTCTGTTCACAAGCAAAACATTCCCCAGAATTAGGGTCAGAAAGGAATTTCCCTCTCCATCAGATTGGCAAGGAGTATTTCTTCCCCTTTCTCTGCATTGAGAGGTATGCTCCTCCTTTTATGATCTACTGAGCATGTATTAATTAAATTGCTTCTCTGTCATTGCAGAGGCAGTGCAGTGGTGCTGTTTTTGTCTCCGTGGCTTTTTTTTAGGGACACATGTTAGTGGTTAGTTTCTTGTTTTGGGCTCACAGCATGCTTTGCAGCTGTGGTGTGTGATGAGTTAGAGTGGATAATTTTTAGGACTCTTTTAGACAAATGGTTTCCTATAAATGCATAAGATCAGACTTCAAGGTTGAAAAGCCCCCTTCCAGACTCAAGCATTCCTTTGAAATATAAACTGCTTTTTAACCAGACAAAGATACGGTGATTTTTTCCCATTAAGGAAAGTGGTTTATAATCCATCTGTCTTTTCTGCTCTTTCTTTATTGCGTTCTCTTTGTGTTTTGTTGTTCTTTTCAGCCCATGGGCATTTTCTCCATCCTGGAAGAGGAGTGCATGTTCCCCAAGGCAACTGACGCTTCCTTCAAGAACAAGCTCTACGATCAGCATCTGGGCAAGTCCAACAACTTCCAGAAACCGAAGCCTGCCAAAGGAAAGGCTGAGGCCCACTTCTCCCTGGTGCACTACGCAGGCACTGTGGACTACAACATCACTGGCTGGCTTGAGAAGAACAAGGACCCCCTGAATGAAACTGTCATTGCGCTGTACCAGAAATCATCATTGAAAACACTGGCTCTGCTCTTTGCCTCTTTTGGTGGAGCAGAAGGTAGTAATTTCTGTAAAACCAGTATTTTAACTGATTCATAGCAGATGCTTCCTGTAAAATTGAGAAATAGGTCAAGTTTTAAAATGTACTATGTATGTCTTCATAGATGCATCAACCTTAAGGCCAGAAGGGATTTTGTGGCTATTAACATAGGCCATTGGGCTGATTCCAGCAATTCCTGCAGTGGGCAAAATTATTCTGCATACTACATAAGGAACCAAAACTGAACTGTTTAAGTTGTAGTTGGATTACAGCATATCCCTAGAAATGTATCTTAACTTGATATCCCATTTGAATACTCCTAACTGCCACTTCCAGGCATTTGACCTTGTTCTTCTCCTCATCTTTGTTTCCTTTTAGAAAACAAATAAGACAAGAGTTCTGCAGACTTTAATAGCATCTTTTTTTGTCTTGTTTAGAGGGTGGTGGTGGCAAGAAGGGCGGCAAGAAGAAGGGTTCCTCTTTCCAGACGGTCTCTGCTCTTTTCAGGGTATAGTAAAGTGTTCATTATAAATCATTTTTTTCTTGAGAAGAAAGTGAGGAAAGTGACTTTAACTCTGAAAAACGGGTTTTCTAGAGAGAAGCCAGTGATGTAAAAAGCTCATGTCCATAACATAACAAAACTACAGTAAAATTCACATTGGCCGCGTCTACACAAGACACTGTGCAGTAGGGGTGTGTAAAACGGGCTGTATTTGATTCGGATTTGGCCTGAATCGGGGACAGTGATTTGATTTCCTGATTCAGATCATTGGACATTGAATTTGGACATAGAAACAGCTTTAAATGTTTTTTCTACATACCTCGAGGTACCAGGTGTGGCTCATGAACTCTACAGTGGTGGGGTAGATGGAGCGTCCCACAGAAGTACTTCCGGTCCACTTCTGGGTTTGCCACTGAGCATGTGAGGGCCCCCCCCCTCCATTACCCCCAGCTCAGCAATTGGCCATGGGGGGACCCTAGGTGCCTCCCTAGACCCAGGAGGCACCAGTCACTGAGCTGGGGGGCACAGGGGGCCCCCCCTCACACTCCTCTGTGGACTGGAAGTGCTTCTGGTCCACTTCCGTGTCTGCTGCCAAGCGTGCGGCACCCCCCGCCTCCCCCCCGGTGCTCCTGTGGGACCCTTCATCCACCCCAGCATCATAGCATTGACGAGCCGCCTGGCACCTGATATGTAGAAAAAACACTTAAAGCTGTCCAAATCATCGAATCTCTCCGAATCTCTCTGAATCGATGTGGAGGGATCAGATTTGATTAGGAGAGATTAAAGGGTCACCTGATTCAATTCGGATTCAGAGATTCAGCCATCGAATCGGGCCAAATCTCTGCCGAATCAAATCAGTAACTGAAGCTTCTCACAGCCTTTTTGTTCAGTAGCCTGAGACTACTACGCAGTAGCACTGCATAACAAAAACTAATGTGACATTACAACACAGTAGTCTTGACCTACTGTGCATTCACCATCACAGAAAAGCCATTCATTGGCACTACTGCTTAGTAATGTCAGTTACTGCTCAGTCATTTAGTATTTGTTTACACAAATACTAAATGACTGTTCAGTAATGACTGCATTATCAGTGTCTTGTGTGGATGTGGCCATTGAGCCATTGAGCATACTGGCTAATTAGACAAGCCCCTACAGACAAAGGCTCTCTCCTCTCTGAGACTGATGTCAGAAATGCTACAAACAAAACCAGTGTATATGTTGAAGCTAAAAATGCCCCTCCCCTACAGCCCCTTTCAGAAATGATTTTTCAGGCCCCTGCCACTTCTTTCTGCCATCTGTTAAGGGCCCTAACTCTCCTTTGCCTTTCATCCTCTGTGCCACTACGCACAAGTACAAAGAAGTGTAAAGCTGGGTGTACAATGCTCTAAATCAGAATCCATCACAGTTTTACATCACTGCTAGTGTCTGATACCTACAGTGCATACCTTTTGCTTAGGTGCAAATGACTATTCAAAGTGGTGGGTAGTGGAGAAACAAGCCCAAACCCTCCACCCAAGCCCATGTTGTACCTACTTGCCCAGTTTCTTAAAAAAATATCCGGATACATTTCTGCCATTTTACTTGCATCATTTTGAAGATATCTTCTATTTCAGCAACTACAGGTGACTTTCTGTCCCCTGTGGCAGCCATTCTGTACTGGCTTAGTAGAGCATTTTTTATTAATAAGTTGAAATGATATACTAAAGTTCATAATCCTCAAAAGAGGGAGCTTAATATTGGCTCCTGCTAAAATGATCTGACAGCTAATTTGTCTGAATTTCAAACACTGCTGAGCTGTTTGCTACCATGATTGTACTGTATCTAGCAATGCATTTGCAGAGGTAACATTGGTTAATATGAACTTTTTCTTATGGTCTCACAGGAGAACTTAAACAAGCTGATGTCCAATCTGAGAAGCACTCATCCTCATTTTGTACGATGCCTCATTCCCAATGAAACAAAAACACCTGGTAAGAAGCTCCAGTACAAAGAGATGCTAGTGTGATGTAGCTCCTCTGTGCTATACAGTAAGATACTGATTCCTGCTTGGTTTTGTTAAGGTGCCATGGAACATGAACTGGTGCTGCACCAGCTGCGGTGTAACGGCGTGCTGGAAGGGATCAGAATTTGCAGGAAAGGCTTCCCCAGCAGAATCATTTATGGAGACTTTAAGCAGAGGTCAGATTCCTCTACCCCATTTGAATTGTTTGTATTTCTTATCTACAGAGGTGTAACTGGCCAGTAAAGTGCCCTGGGCAGTCCCCCATGCCTCCCCCCACAGCATCCTGCCCTTTCTGTTACAGCAGGCTGTGAGAATGGCAGTGCAACAGCAGCAGTGCATGGTACTGTAGCAGCCACAAGCAGTTTCTGCTCTTGGAGATGTCACTTCCTTTTGGGATTATCAACATGTATGTTGAACAGCCAAAACAACAATATTTTGGCAGAAATAAAAGTTGATGGTGGCACGTCCTCCCAGCAGCAGAAATTACATTTCCCAAAACACCCCTCATGCACATACACTTGTGTGTTGCTGCTTTGCTGCACTGCTGTCCCCTGCTACTAGCTGAAGCTACTTCAGGAAAATGCAAAGGGCAGAAGAGGGAGGGAAGAATGACAAGGGGGCAAGAAGGTGAAGTGTCCCAGTAGCTCCCTTCTGAGTCCCCTTTTAGGCAGTGTCTGGAGCTCATGCTCTGCTTATCCACCCATTCTTATGATACTGCTTATTTACCCAATTTCTTGAATGGAAGATGGCCCTGATTATAATCTTTATTGAATAGAAGATGACACCCAATAATTAGATTCTATATATGGAACATTTATATATTTGTTGTAATTTTCCAGATGTAAAATCAAATTATGGGAGGTTTGTTTTGAATTTGCCCCCCTTCCACTGCTACAGAAGGGACAATAAGTCTGGGAGGAGATAGGTAGCACTTTGCTCTCTACATCCCCCAACTTTTTCCCCTGCTAGCCCCTTACCCCTCTCCTTACCATTAGACCCTGCTCTCCCTGAGCACATGGAAGTGGGGAGCAAATCTGAAAACAATAACAGGCTGCCAGCATGTGACAAGTTGTTCCAGCATCTGCTCCTTGAGCAGCAGCTCATAGCAATTCAGCATATGTTAGCCAGGAACCCCATGCTGCAGAGAGAGTACCTGGCTGGTGTCTGCTAGGTCATTTTGAGCAGTGTTTGCAGTTGCCAGCCAGAGGGTGCCAAAGCAAGTTGGCACACGCTGGCAGGCAGCAGCTTGGAATGACCCTGAACTGGGCAGCCACGAACCCTACAGGTTGAAAGCACCCAGGTACAGTCTGCTGCCTGGCCATGTGCTAGGTGCCTGACCACAATACCTCCTCACTAACCTTCCCATCCTCTGTGCATTTTGTGATTTCAGGTAAGTCATATGCGATCATAAGCTGAGGCTTCCCCCCATGTAAAATGAGTGGAAAAAAACCTCATAATCAAGTAAACACGGTATTATAAGAAATCACCACCCTGCACATCTTCACTTCATAAAAGAGACTGAAAGAAATTTAGCACTAAACTTCTGGAGTCCAGAGCACACTTTGATGGCTTTTCATTGGGAGCACAGAATGAGGGTTTTGGGGGCAATCCAAAGCAGTGGCATGGACATGGTCAGTGACTCCAAGGATTTTACATCTTATACATCTAGATAAAGTGGATATACTTGGAAATAGTGACTAGTACTGCTCAAAAAGCATGGTTAGACTGAACTAGTACATTATGCTCTTCTTCTGCTTTGAGAAAATAACACTCTCTCTCCCCTCTTACTATTAGCTGGAATCATTTTTGCACACAAAGTTCTTGACTTTGGGATAGGCAGGCAAGGTTCTCTGGGTACATGTGATATCTTTTATTAGACCAACTAAATAGCTGGAAATATTTCTTTGCAAACTTTCAGACAAGCACCCTTTTTCAGGCATTGGGAGACTTTGCAGCTGTTATGTGTTCTACAAGGTAGAAAAGAACTATAACAAGAAGTCTGTGAAAGTGCAAATGAGTGGACGTTTGGAAGACAAAGGGTAGAGATAGGAGGGGAGAGGAAAAGGGAGGTAAATGTGTGAAGGACTGCAAGTGATCAGCTTGAAGTAGGTTACCTGGTGTGTCAGATGTCAGGCAGACTGTAATATGTCATAAATCTAATGTCTGTATTAAGTCCATGATTTTTTTGTATCCAGTAGATATATGAAGTTCATAGGCTTGTCTGTGAAAGGTGGGATAAAATTTTACCCTTAATGCTAGTGAAAGGTATCAGGCTGACATCTCAGGAGACCTCTCCCTTACATCTCAAATAGCTAAGTTGATAGGATAAGCTTCCCCACCTTGCCCTAAAAACATGCTTCTTCTGGACTTGGAATATCCTCCTGGTGCACAGGAAAGAAGTTTAGTTTTAAGGATTTCTCTATATGAAGAGAATACTAACAATAACACCAGTTGGTGGCATGCAACATAACTTCTTCATATTCTCTGTCCACCCCAGATACAGGATTTTAAATGCAAGTGCTATCCCAGAAGGACAATTCATCGACAGCAAGAAAGCTTCTGAGAAGCTCCTTGGGTCCATTGATGTTGACCCTACACAGTATAAATTTGGACACACCAAGGTACAGAGGCAGATTTGTTCTAATATGGACTGTTCATGTTTCATAAAGACTGACTGCATATACATCAGCAATTAATTCAAAGCAATAAACTCCAGAGCAGTTTGAGCTGGAGTAAACTAGTCCTGGGCACAGCATCTACACATGTGCCTGGGGCAGCAACAATTTGAGCAGCTTACATCAGGGCTGGGGGCCACAGGTGGGCCAGCCCTGGGCTTCAGGTGGTGACATTAGACAGGGGAGGGGCTGACTGGAGCATGAGGATGCTAAAAGTGCAGGCTAGGTGGAAAGTAGGAGTCTGGACCCCAGCTGGCTGGGCTGACAGGCACAATTTATGCCCATAGTCAGCATCTACATATGCATGTAACCACAGTTAATTACCCGGCTGTAAGATAGCACTTTCCCTGAGAGTACTATTTTACGGCAGTATTAATTAGTTTACTGCGACTGAATAGCATCATGTGTGTAGATGGTGATGTTTTACTCTGCAGCTAATCAGTCTTCTTCACAGTTAGGCACACATGTAGATATGACCACTGAGAGTGACATTCTGTAATATTGCATTTCTCTAGGTGTTCTTCAAAGCTGGCCTGCTGGGTCTTCTAGAGGAGATGAGAGATGACAAACTGGCACAGCTGATTACTCGCACACAAGCTATGTGTCGAGGATTCCTGATGAGAGTAGAGTTCCAGAAAATGATGGAAAGGCGGTAGGTATTTGTCACCTTGAAATAAGATTAATTGGGCTTGGCCTGCTTTGTCTATATACAGGATACACATAGTATTTAATACATATTTTAATGATATTTCAGGGAGTCCATCTTCTGTATTCAGTACAATGTTCGTGCATTCATGAATGTCAAGCACTGGCCCTGGATGAAGCTGTACTTCAAGATCAAACCCTTGCTGAAGAGTGCTGAGTCTGAGAAGGAGATGGCCAACATGAAGGAAGAGTTTGAGAAAACAAAGGAAGAGCTTGCTAAATCTGAAGCAAAAAGGAAGGAACTAGAGGAGAAAATGGTGTCCTTGATGCAAGAGAAAAATGACCTACAGCTCCAAGTGCAATCTGTGAGTATCGCTAGTGTATTTGATTCTTGTATTGTACAAGGACATCTAACCATGAAAGATGCAAATACATTTCACTAAGAATAGACCCAAAAACTACAGATTAATTTGTACTAAAAACACACTGCATGTCAGATTATAAATACTGACCTACCAAATTCAAGGAGGCTGCCTGCTAGTTTCATGGGCATAACATGGGGCCTGACAGCCATTTCAAGTGCAAAGTGTGGCAGCTCCCCTGCCCCCTCCCCCACTCCATGCCTCTGATTGGCTAAGGGGCCCCGGTGGCTCTGCTCCTCACTGTTGATTGGCTGCGAGGACTGCCCATCATACAGACCTTCCCCTCACCACTGATTGGCTGTGAGGGTGTCTGCCATGAGGCCCCACCCCTCACCACCAACTTGTTGAGAAGGGTGGGGTCACATGACAGGCACCCCTCACAGCCAATCAGCAGCAAGGGGACCAGCCATCTTGCTGGCATCCCTTCAAATGGGCATTCCTCCTTCCCCACTTTGCCACTCTTGTGGACTGCCACATTCTATTTTTAGTAAGTCCTTCCCCTCCCCCCCATGGAGTTCACAGATTTCGCCAGCATTGCCCAATTTCACAATGCCAGACATCATGAAATCTGCAAAATGGTTATTTTGGTAAGTCCCTAATTATAAAGGATTGCAAACAGCATCTGTTCAAATTCAGACAAGTTGCTTGGAGACTCTATGTTCCTTGTGTCTTAATAATAATGATGCAAACTTAAATGATCATCAAAATAGTTATCTAGGTGATGATCTGTTTTGGATGGATAACTGGTGGGGTGGACCCTGATACATTTGAATCCTTTATAATGAATTAGTCTGCATAAAAGAAATCAAGCAAACAGAGGATCTCAGTATGCATATAGCCTTAGGCATTGCCCGTGTAACTGGAAAAGGTATAAGCACCTTTTCCGGGCAGGAGATTTAAAATTACTTTTTAAGGTGTGTAGCACCCCTATAGAGTCCTTGGAGAGACCTCAGAGATAGCTGAAAAAGATGTAGGTTTATGCTTCCAGGTATTCTTTGCAGAGAATGGGGAGTGGTCAGCACACACCAAAAAAATCCTGGAGTTTCTAAAAGATAGCATTTGGGAAACACTGATATGAAGTAGTGAGCCTGAATCCCCACTGCTTTTTAACTATCTGTTAGGCATCTCCATTCAGTGGTAATTCACAACATCAATTTTAATTTTTAATATATGTGCATAAAATGTTTCTGAAAATAGATGATTCACAACTTGTGAAGCTGGTGCCCACATTATGCCCAGTGGCCAAATGTTTAGAGGAAACCCCTCAAGAAGTAAGAGACCTGAGTTTTAAACCTTTCTCCCCTGGAGGGGATTTATCCCATAGCTCCATACTCCCAAAAGAGTACTCTGAATCCCTCGTATTAGAATAGGTTTAGCAATGGCATTTCCTACCCCTTCTTCGAATCTGGACCCCTGACAGTCATGAATGCAAGAACCATAGGGCTAGAGAAAGGTATTTTCATTTCATTTCCACTCCTCAAACTATGAAATGGATAAAATTTTGAAAATAAGTGATATTTTTTGCTTTGTTCATAGTGACTGAAACATACTGAGCAAAATATTCACAACTGCACCAATGAAGACTTTAGCATCACACATAAGTAGGTGGCTATAAAGAATAGCCATTTGTTGCACATGTATTGCTATATATGTGACTATAACTTTTAAATTTCTAAATTAAATTATTTTAAGAATGGCAAGTCCTCCACATCTCAAGTAGTAATAAATTAAATAAATGCCAAGTATGACATTTTAAAACATATTCATTTTGATGTATCTGGACAGAAAGAAACTTCTACACATTTAACTCAGAAAAATGTATTATTCATACAGTAACAAGTAGTAACTGAGGCACTTCACAGAAATATAAAAGCTACAAGCCCATGAGACAAGAAGTTTAGAGCCAGTTTTTCAAACGATTTCATGATCTAAAGCCTGCCATTGTTCTCAACTTATAACTGCTTCACTGACATCTGTTATAGCTGCTAGATGCACAACATTTCAGGAAATTAGCACATTACACTCTAAACCGTATGCAAATGCAGCCAGTGATGAAAAATAGTGTGGTAAGAAACAAAGGAAAAGAGGATAAAATAAAATATCGGGGTGCTTGTGTGGCTTAATGGCATCACACTACATATGAAAGAGTTTTGGAGGTTTTAAATGAGTTTGCATTGTTGCAAACTAAACTACATACCGATGTAGTTTAGTTTGCAATATTGCAAATTGCAATGATGCAGCTGTCAACTCACCCCCCAGGCTGTGGGAGAGCTGGGCAGGCTCCACAGAAAAAAAGATTTGGGCCCCTCACCACTTCTGCCTTCAGCAGGCTTCTGCGGCTGGCAGGATGCCTAGGGCCACCCGAGAATGGGTTGGCTTGCCCCTGGGGCAGTGCAAGAAGGTGGCAGGAGGGTGGCTGGGTTTGCTGGCAGTGGGAGAAGTTAGTGCATATGGTGCATGGGGCACTGGAAGCCCGCGTAAGCTGCTAGCTGGCCAGGTGCTGCTCCAGCTTGGAGGTGCCTGATCCAACACTTCCCCAAGCCTGCCTGGGATTCCAGTACCCTGTGCACTGTCCCTGCCACCTTCTGCTGCTGCCAGCACACCGAGCCACCCTCCTACCACTTCCCCATGGCACACCAGGGGAAGCTGGGTGTGCTAGTGGCCAGAGAAGGTGTTAGGAAGAGTGCATGGGGCACTGAAAGGCTGGGCAGGCTCAGGGAAGCATTGGTTTGGGTGCCTCCAAATTGGAGCAGCACCTTGTCAGCTAGCAGCCCACCTAGGCTTCCAGTGATTCCTAGCCAAAATAATTTCACGCATAGGTTTTATTGAAATAGAGGAGCTACTTCTACCACACCTAAAATATAACTACTGGGTTATCTTGGCAGATTAAGCTGAAATCATGAAAATGCTAACAAAAAGCAAACCAATATTCCTCCAACAGGAAGCTGATGGCCTGGCTGATGCTGAGGAGAGATGTGACCAGCTGATCAAAACCAAAATCCAGCTTGAAGCTAAAATTAAAGAGGTGACTGAAAGAGCAGAGGACGAAGAAGAAATGAATGCTGAGCTGACAGCCAAGAAGAGGAAACTGGAGGATGAATGTTCAGAGCTGAAGAAAGACATTGATGACCTTGAGTTAACCTTGGCCAAGGTGGAAAAGGAAAAACATGCCACAGAAAACAAGGTATAAGCCAGAATCTGTAACCAACATTCCACTCATGGCTGCCATTTTGCACACACAGATGTGTGTTTTGTTGTTGCTTTGGCCTCTTATAACAACATGTGTTGCCTTCTGAAAGGTGAAAAACCTCACTGAGGAGATGGCAGTCCTGGATGAGAGCATTGCCAAGCTGACAAAAGAAAAGAAAGCCCTCCAAGAGGCCCATCAGCAGACTCTGGATGACCTGCAGGCAGAAGAGGACAAAGTGAACACATTGACCAAAGCTAAAACAAAACTGGAGCAGCAAGTGGATGACGTAAGCACAGCAAAATATGGGGCAAGGAAACAGGCAAGAAGTTGGCTGCCGAGTGGCAGGGCTCTGACAGCCTTTTTCTCTTTAGCTTGAGGGGTCCCTGGAGCAGGAGAAGAAACTTCGCATGGACCTGGAAAGAGCAAAGAGGAAACTTGAAGGAGACTTGAAGCTGGCCCAGGAATCCACAATGGATTTAGAAAATGATAAGCAGCAGCTGGATGAAAAGCTGAAAAAGTAAGTCTGGTTTCTGGGGAGCATCCTTCTGTTTGGGCAGGGACGCATGCAGTTTGTTTGGGCCCTAACATGTTCTGCTTTGTGAAAAGGAAAGACTTTGAAATCAGTCAGCTCCAAAGCAAAATTGAGGATGAGCAAGCCCTGGGCATCCAGCTGCAGAAGAAGATCAAGGAGCTCCAGGCAAGTCATAATTTGCCTTGCTTCTGGCTGTGCGGAGGAGTTCAGGTAAGAGGAGGCATTGGTTTCAGTGTGTCCTATTGCTTTCCAGGCCCGTATAGAGGAGCTGGAGGAGGAAATAGAATCAGAACGAGCCTCTCGGGCAAAAGCAGAGAAGCAGCGGGCTGATCTCTCCAGGGAACTTGAGGAGATCAGCGAGCGCCTGGAAGAAGCTGGTGGGGCAACAGCAGCTCAGATTGAGATGAACAAGAAGCGCGAGGCAGAATTCCAGAAGATGCGCCGAGACCTTGAAGAGGCTACTCTGCAGCATGAAGCGACAGCCTCTGCCCTCCGGAAGAAGCATGCTGACAGCACAGCCGAGCTCGGGGAGCAAATTGACAACCTGCAACGGGTCAAGCAGAAGCTGGAGAAGGAGAAGAGTGAGCTGAAGATGGAGATTGATGACCTGGCTAGCAACATGGAGACTGTTTCCAAAGCCAAGGTATGGGACCAACTTTTGATAACATTGGCTTGAACTTAAGTGCCATTTCACCTTCAAAACAATATTTTGATTAACATTTAATCATGTTCAACTATACAAAGCAGGATATATGCTGGTTGAAAGTATTAAATATTTTTATTAGACTGATTTTAGTTTAACCTGAATAAAGCATACACAGTTTAATGACCTGTATTGATATCTAAACCCTGAAGACATGTGATGAAGGAGCTTATGGTTTTGATTACATTTATTACCAAATTAGCAGCCATTACTTTTCAAGGGTAGTAAAGATGACCCCTATACTGGTTGGTGACTTAAAAGTTAATTTTGGTACTAACATTAAACCTTATTAATATTTATTTGGTAACATATGGGCACAAGCGCACAAAACAAGTAGCTATTGCAGAATATCAGTGGCCTATGTTCCTGCAACCTTAAACCTACCTGGTCTTGCATACCTTTTATTTTCTTGACTTTGCATACTAATAAGCTTGCCAAAGGTGGTGGTGAGAGTTCCCTCTATAATGCGTAAAACAAATAATATCTCCAGGCGTCCTCACAGAATTTAGTAGACATTCTTGCATAAAATTCCTCTGTCCTCTTTTTAGAAAAATTCCAAAGCAGAGAAAAAACCCTTGCGAAACAGTTAAGGGTTGTCAAAGCACAAGTCACATGAAAATAGGACACTTCTAACAGAAAATGACATTGACTTGACCCTATAGGTGTCCTCACCAGAGAAACCTATGAGAATTAAGTTATCTCAGTAGCATAACTAATAGGATTAAGGGACGACTGGGGAAGCAGCCCTAGGGGAGTGAGAATGGAAACATATATACCACTTCAGCATCAGCTCACCACAGCCATACTACATCCCTGAGTTATCCTTTGACCTTTATCATGCTATGCTATTCAGATTCAAGATAATGTGTCCTCATTAAATAATATGATGTGACAGAATTTCCTCCAAACTCAACAAACTTTAAGCTGCACCTTCCTTTTTGTCCATTTTATGTGTAGGCAAATCTGGAGAAGATGTGCCGCACTCTGGAGGACCAGCTTAGTGAGGTTAAGACCAAGGAGGAGGAGCACCAGAGAACAATCAATGACCTCAGTGCTCAAAGAGCACGTTTACAGACAGAATCAGGTAAGTCACGTACAGGTTTTCAACTAGAAATGTAAATACATGCAAGTGATGTTGGTTCCACCCTAGAAAGCTATTTCATTCTTTGAAAAACAGCTCATTCACATGACTGCTGACACCTCAGGCTAACACTTGGATTCAATTAGCTCAGCTTCCTGTGCAAGAACTATCTGAGTGACTTATTTCCAAAGTAATAGAGAAATCTGGGTTTTCTGTTTGTCATGGAAAAATTCAAAATTTCTCCTTTATAGGAGAAAAAAGTGGGTTTCGCTTTGAAGGCTGGCGATGTTCCAGCCTGTGAGATGCTGCTTGGGGGAAATGTGGGGAGGGCAACTGGAGGCAGAAGGCACCATGTGCCATGAACAACTGGTGCCTCCTGTGATTGGGGGGGCACCATGGTGCTGAGCAGCCAGTGGGGAGCACCCGCAGACGCCAGTGGTAGTGTCGGTGGTGGGGAGGGGGGGAGGGGCCAGCAGCAAGTGGGGACCGCCCACAGATGCTGGTGGTGGTGTTGGCGGCGATGGAGGTTGGGTGGCGAGCGGCAACCATCTGCAGAAGCCAGGGCCGGCTTTGGTGGTGGCCAGTCTGAGGGGGTTACATGCCCCTCCGTGTACCCTTTATGCATCGCCCATGCCATGTGCATGTGCACATGAACATACACATGTGGCCGGCATACAGACATGTAGGGTGGTGGGAGAAGCCCTGGAAACTGGATACAGGTAAATCTATGGAGGGGCAGAGGGGTTGGAGGGCTAGGTCTTGGGGACTGTCCAGGGGGCATATGTGTGTGTGTAGGTGGCGGGGATGTGTGGGTGGAGGAGGTACCTGCTAGTGGTGGGGGAAAGTGTGTGGGTGCCAGGGCTGAGGTGCCCCTGTCTGAGGCTGCATTCAGTGCTGCCAGTGAGCCCAGCTCTGTACTGTTGCCAGCAGGGCCCTCCCAGAGGCACTTGCCCTTCCAGCAGGGCAAGGGGATGGGGAGGTTCTTTCAGGGGGGTGAGGAGCTATGTGGCTTCACCAGAGGCACCATGGCTGGTGCCTGTGCTCACAGGGGCAGGGTGGTCAGGAGACGTTGCTGGTGGGGAGTGGGGACTGCCATGGCATGGTCACCTGATGCAAGGCAGGAGCCCCTGCACAGGTCAGAGGGTGCCACAGGCATCCCTTTCTCCTCCCTCCAGGCCACCCTGGGGCCAGACTCACTCTGCTGCCAACTGCATGAACCAGAGCCACCAGAGACACAACCCCCTGTGCTCTGCTTTATGTTGCTGCTGTGAAGCATGCCCCTGGTCCTCCCTCCTTCAATGCAGTCCCAGCCCCAGCCCCAGCTGGTGGTGTGGGGCAGAATATTGTGCCCCAGTGACATCTTGTACTTCCACTTAAGGTGCACTGCATGCACCTCCTGCTGGAGGCCGTCCCAACCATGTCCCCACAAATGTGTGAGTCCGCACAGGGCTGGTCAGGGTGGGGTAGCTGAGGGCCCCCTCTGAGAGGGGGCTGTGCTTCATGAATGAAGAGCAACAGCAGGGCTGGGGAGACTGGGGGACTGTGGATCAGGATTGAGGGCCGTTGGCAGGGCAGGTATGGAGTGGGGGGTTGTGAGTTGGGAATGAGTGGCACCAGGATGGCTGGAGGGGGTGGGGGACTATGGGTTGGGAGTGAGGGGCACCAGCAGGGCCAGGGGGTTGTGGGTTAGAAATGAGGGCACTGGTGGGGATGGGGGGCTATAGGTTTGGAGTGAGGGACAACAGCAGAAAACCAGGATTCCTGGTAATAAACAGATCTTCCATGTTCAGTCAATTTCTATTAAGTTTATTCTATCTGCAAATGTTCCCAGGTGAATTTTCTCGCCAGGTGGAGGAAAAAGATTCTTTGATTTCACAGCTGTCAAGGGGCAAGCAAGCATTTACCCAACAGATTGAGGAATTGAAGAGGCAACTAGAGGAAGAGATAAAGGTGAGGACTCTCCTGACAGCCCTTGGCTTTGGTGCCAGTCTCTGGCAGTATGGAAGAACCCTTAACCTCCTATAAAATCATAGCACTGTATTGACTAGAGAAGGAAAAAACCTGTTTGGTAAACCGCTTGGGCCTGCCAACAGAATATCCCTCTCTACAGTTCAATGGTGAATCCTTTACTTACTTGCAGCGTTAAATCTGTCATCCAGTGAGTTTGATGCTCCTTCTTCTCGGGTAGCGTTCCACAGCCTGGCAGATCTCCCTTTGAGGATGTTCCCCATGATATTTAGGACTATGTCATTTCTCCAGGCCAAGAATGCGCTGGCACATGGCTTGCAGTCTGCTCGCCATGACTGTGACTTGCTGCGGGAACAATATGAAGAGGAGCAGGAAGCCAAGGGTGAATTGCAACGTTCCTTGTCCAAAGCCAACAGTGAAGTTGCCCAGTGGAGAACCAAATATGAAACCGATGCTATTCAGCGGACAGAGGAGCTGGAAG